CTCATGTTGTGACCCAACCATAAAATTATTTTCCTTGCTACTTCATAACTGTAATGTTGCTACTGTTATGAATCGTAATGTAAATATCTGATATGCAGGATGGTCTTAGGCAACCCCTGTGAAAGGGTCGTTCAACCGCCAAAGGGGTCGAGACCCACTGGTTGAGAACCACTGAATCTGTGCTAATGGATTCCTCAAAATCCTCAACCAGCTGGTGTTGCTCAGTGGTTGAACATCGACCTATGAACCAAGAGGTCACCAGTTCCATTCCCGGTCAGGGCACATGACTGGGTTGCCAGCTTGATCCCCAGTAGGAGGCGTGCAGGAGGCAGCCTATAGATGATGTTTATCTCTCATGGATGTTTGGATGTTTCTGTCTCTCTATCCCTCACTTCCTCTCTCTCTAAAGATCAATAAAAACATGTTAACAAAACAACAATATCCTCACCACTGAGATAGCTAGTCCTTCTTGGGGTTTTACTGAGAGCTTCACTTTATCTTTAGAAACCACCCCACCCTCAAATCATATTCCTTAGAAGGAGTCAAGTGTTTACCTTGCCCAGATATTTTAGTTCCATTTTTGATACCGGTTAAAATAAATATTGCGGAATAAAAATGAATTTAAATCAAATTCCTTGGTAGTTGCATCTGTCATGTCTCAGAAGCATTTAGGTAAATGAAAAGAAGAAAATATACATTTTCTTCTTTTAAAATTTATCATTAAACTTAAAATTATGCTAAAAGTTTTTTATATAATGACCAAGAAAAATAAATTACTTAATTATGGAAATGCTATACTTACTACTCTAATAATAAATTAAAAATCACAAGGTCATCATTTTCTCTAAGTCTCTTGACTCAGATAAAAGGTCCAAAATTTAATGATCTATATACATATGAGGATTTACATAATTTTTATGAAGTAATTCTATATTAATCTTAACCATCTTTATTACAGTTCCTGCTCTTAAAACAGCATTAAAAACCTTTTATATCATGATTATCCCTCGTTATATAACCTTATTGAGAAAAATATTTGGTTTTTAAGTACTGTACCAGAGGGCTTAATTTAATCCTTAACTGCAAAGATTTGACACTAGTTATGAGTGAATATCCAACTTATCAAATCAACCACAAGATTTTTCATACAATACAGAGGACAGTGTGTGAATGTGATTATTGAATTCTCAATATGGTTTTTACTTAAAAATTACATAACAAGCATCCTTCACAGTAGTTGGTGTGCTATCACATTGGATTTAATAAAAAAAAATTCTTCATGAAGACACAGTAAATCAGGCATAAAGAACTTTAAGTGTATAAGATAATTATTAAACAAGTGACGTTACACACATGGGATACAACAACTAGAGAAATACATTTCATGGAAAACTTAAAGACACTCTAACTCCAAAGCTTGTAAAGAAAATGTAAGATAATAGAAATACGTGGCTTTTTGCCCCCTCTTTAATTGCAATAGTCTCTAGAAAACAATCCCTTTGAATTTTGGGAGATGACAGTGTTTTTCATGCCATGGCAGTTTGTTTTCTGTGGTACATAAAGTAATAGAAGAGACTTACTAGTATATTACTAGTATTTCCTTTGTTTACATACGGTCTTTTTAAAAAATCTATTATTTTGCTTCATGCCATTTGAAAACTAATTTTGTGCATGACCTAATTGAATATACTCTTCTTTTGACTTGAAACTTATAGGAAGTAGAAAAGTCATCTGTTATAAAATTAACTAGAATTGAAAAGCTTTCTAAATTGTAATGACTATTCAGATTTTTTGAAATGCAAGTGATTACTATTATGCTTTATATCAAGTGAAACATTCTATTATTACACTAGTATTAAAATAACAATAGCCCTCCTCATGAATTGTGACCAGTAAGTATCTTCGGATTTTGTCATTCTGATATTTCAGGTTTATGTATATCCAAATTATGTTTATAGGCATATTTACCTGTATCTTTATTAAAACAATGTACACTCAGAATGAAATTCAATATAATTGTGCATAACACATTTGCAATTAACCCATCAGTGATTTCTAACAGTTATTTAATATCCAAGAAATGCCCCAAGTCCTATTTTGCCAAGAATAAATTCACCTATTAAACTTTTCATGTGTTTGCAGGAATTCAGAAACAATAAAAATCAAATGGATTCATACTAGATAAAATTGTCTCATCCTATTGATAACAAATTTCAGTAACATTAATGACATTTTACATTAAACTTTTGAAATATAAAAAAGATACATATTTTATGTATAGCATAAAACAGTCACAACACATTCTTTTTATAAGACATCTTCTCATTTGTGTTATTAGCACATAATGAGGTAAGGAGTTGACCCTTTGTTCCATAAATTGGCAGGTTTGGGGAACACCTATTTCTTTAATTTGCTCCATTAAGGTAACCATTAAGATAAGAGGATTTAAATCCAGACCTCTTAGAAGGATTTGTATATGAATGTATTGAGAGCAATGTGCACAGTCTATTATTCTACTCCCTCAGTTTCTCATAAATATTGATGTTTGATTGCTTTTCTTCCCAGGTAATATTTATTCTTAGAAACTACTTCTAAAATGTAGCCTTAATAACTTAGTGTAAAAAAGTTGGAAATGGGAAGTGTTTTTATGAGAAACTCGCCATCCAGGTAGCCATAAAGCACACATGGGCTATAAAATCAGTCTTCTTTCACACTGCACTTGTAGCTCAGGGACAATTGTTTCCTAAACCGTAATCTCTTGAACGGAGATGACATTGGGTGACATTCAACACTGGTACTCAGCCTCTTCTTTCAGACCTCCAAGCAGGCTGACAGTGGTCCCTACTGTAGATAGCTGTGCAGTAAAACACTTTATATCACATGGGATGACAAATAGGTGCCAGGTAGTATTATTTGGAGCAGTTGATTTGGTTCTCAGATTTTAGGATGCTCCAGAATCACCTGTAGGGCTTGTTAACACACAGATTTCTGATACCACCCTCAAAAGTTTATGATTCAGCAGATCTAGGATAGGGTGGAAATTTGCATGTCTAATAAAATCTCAGGTGATGCTGATGCTGATATTTCAGGAACCACACATGGAGAATCACTGATTTAGAGCAAAGGAATTCTGACTTCTGAGTCTGTCCTTGGCACACATCCACAGAACTATGATCTCTCTCTCTCTCTCTCTCTCTCTCTCTCTCTCTCTCTCTCTCTCTCTCTCTCTCTCTTTCATTTCTCTCATTCTTAAATGATAAACAACAAAAAACTAGATATATTAGAGTCTAAAGATTTAGCTCTTACTCTGAGATTTTACGTAGCTATTAAGGCATGTTATCAATAGTATCTGAAGTTATCTTCAAACTATTTAAAGTGCTAGCTTCTTTCACAATCTGAAAATTACAACTCCTCCTTTCATGCAGCATAAATAAGAAAAAGGTTCTCAAATGTACAAAGGGGAGAAAGAAGAGTTACAATACTTTGATTTTATTGATAATGTTTTGCTAACTAGTAATATAATTTCAATAAACCTCACGTGAGAGTAGTTTTGCTTTAAGTAGTAAAAAGCACAAGGTAGTCCCAGATTCTAAAATTTGAAAATGACTCGTGTATAATTTGGTTTATTACTTCTTTCGAAAAGTGATGGGTTGGGTAAAAGCAATAAAAGAAGAGGATAATTTCTATCTTGTACGGAAATCTTAAATATTATTGTCCATATTTTTGTTTCAATAAATAAGAACACCCGCTCTTACATGAGAAGAGCAAGTTTTTACAAAAAGGTTTTTTACTTTCCTTTAATTTTGAAGTGAATTTTGAACCAGGAAAATTCTGCAGAAAAACAAATTTGAACTATTCAGTGCTTTGAACCCCAGAGCTTACATTTGTACAAAATATACTGCGCTCCTATCCATCTGTGTGTAGGTTAAGGGCAAGCCCCTCCATTAGTCTAATCACCTGGCTTTCAGCCGCAGGCCTAGAGGCATTCACTGACATCAACAATGTTGCTGTAATTAAATAGAAACAAAAACAGTGCCAACCTTGGTAGGAACAGCATCCTGGGTGTCGCTGCTCTGTTGGTGTGGGAACCTGTCCCCCAGGACGCTTTGCTGCCTTGCGGACTGGACCAGCCTGCTCCCTCAGGAGACCTGAGCGCTTTTAAAGGCACATTTATACCCACCCCCACCTCATTCCCTAGCACACAGCACAGCTGGTGCTTTCTGGTAGGTGTTTGATCAATGTTTACGGGATTTAAACAAAGGCAAATGTTTACCATCAATTCTTCATGGTATTAACCTGTGCGATAGGGAAGCCAGCTGGGATGTAGTGGTCCACAGCTTTTCTTTGCAAATTGCATTCCTTATGGAACCCACCAAGGCCGACTACATCATTTTCACTGGTTAGAACAGTACAATGATGTGGCTTTACCTTACCCTTAAATGTTGAAGTCTTAGAGATGGAAATTATTATGTATTCATAGTTACTCCAAAATCTTTATTCTTACACTGTGTCTTACTGGCCATTATGTTGAGATGAGAAATGTTAGCAATGGTAAAGTTACAAACCTGAGAAAATTGTGTTACTGAATGATAGAATTCATGAAACATAAAGTTTAATAGTATTACTTTTATGTAGTTTTGGAAGGTAGCTCTTGAGTTATCTAATATAATATGCTTTTCTGTAAATAAATATTCTCTCAGATGTCACATCAGAATGACAGTCCCTTGTGATTTTTTTTTTGAAACAATGAAGTCAACTATCATGTCTTTAATTCAGTTAGTCATTGCTACTTCTTTTAGTTGCTGAAAGGAAATTACAGGAGAACTTTGGGTCATTTTTAGCAACCAGTTTGAATGTGAAATTGAAATAATACGGATTGGAAATACTTAAACATTTAATTCACACAAAGCATAATACAGGAAACTAAAAGTGAAATAGCCTGAAATTAATTCAGTTGAAAGTCTAACATATTTAAATCAATCATTGAGAACTTGGTTTAAACTGACCTTTATTTCCAAAGAGCAATAGGTTTTTCTTTTGCAAAAACATGGGTCCAGAAAGTAATTTTAGCTTCAGATGGGTCAGATCATAAAATTTCCGTGAACAGAGATTTCAAAAAAAAAGGAATCATTTTACTCAGGCATCCTTGTAATGTAAATCAATATTCTACCAGTTTTGAAGCAGCCCGGCCCCATTGGCTGCTGGGAGTGTGCTTATGCTGGTGAGCACGACTTGCTCTGAGAGTTTTGATATGTTATCAAAGTTGCTGATCTGGGTGGTCAGAGACTTTCTGCTCTCTGTGCTGGTCCGCCCCCTGGCGAGCCGATCCTCCTGGTGATGGTGAACGCCCAGGCAACAGCATGAAAATGCAGCTTTAAATTCCTCTCGAAATTTTCCTGGCAAACGGGGGAGAATGAAAGGAAAAAGAATTGTGTGTAAATATGTCTTAACAAATCATCAGTAGGGTACAACTGAGTGGCTCCCTTGAGCCAAACTAACAATGAGGTGCCACATTTTGCAAAGATGGGGAAAATAGGAAAAGGAAATTGCGTTATGGGAAGCTTGGTAGACTCTTGAAACAATGAGGTATTTTCATAAAATAATGAGACTGCTTTTCATGCTTGTATTTGGGGTCTGTCTCATTCCTTGTATATTTGTGAGTGTGTGTTATTTTTAAGTAGTTAACTATAATAAAAGTGATCATCAGTAGAAGAATGTCCAGAAATACTTAATAATTTCAAAAATGATAAAACTTATGCTGCACATAGCTGAAACTACACAGACTTACCCCTTTTACTCAGAAGAAACTGTTCTACTGAAACAATCAATTGAACAAAATATCTAGAAAAATATCTTAAAAGATCTATAAAGTCTAAAGTTTTATAATCTGCAGAGGCAGACAACACTTAAAAACACACACACGCCAACTTTAGAAGTTATTCCTTGTCTTTAAATTACTGACACAGAATTGGAGAGGTAGGAAAATGAAACAATAACCTTTTTCAGGGTAAATGGCAGTGTTGGGAATTATAATTTATTTTTTCTGAGCCTCAATTACCAAATTGGGTTATTGAGTGATTAAATGTGAAGATGAAGGTTAAGGGATAATACAACAGCAGGAACATAAGTCCCCAGTGATTATCAGCTCACTCTTAACCACATAATAGCATTTTGACTTGTTCTGTGGCTTCTGTTTCAAACATTTCCCCTTACAACCTCCTAATAGGTTTTACCTGCTTAGTGCAAGGCTCAGCGCTTTAGGCATCCCTAACCCTTTGCCAACTGCTTCCTCACTGCTTTCTAAGGCACAGTTCCACTCTCCCCTTCTCCCTTCGAACAGCACGGAGCAGTCTTATCTGGCTGTCTCAGAGCGAATGTAGTTTTTGTTTTGGAAACTGGGGTTGGGTGTGGCAGGGAAGGCAAATGAAAAGGGGCACCTGGACACAAAACAAGCCTCCCACACATACCACTTGATTTTCTGAAAGCTGAACTAAAACAGATAATACATATATAGGGTATGTGCAATGTTTGAATAAAAAGTTATTTTTAAAGAATCTTATTGACTGCTTTTTTTAATTTTTATAACCCAGAAGGCCAAATATGAAGTTACAAAATGCACATACTTTATTAAGTGTGCAATAAAGTAAATTGCTTATCGCTCCATATATAATTATCAGATACATGGAAGTAGAAATGAAAAAGAAATAGCCAACCAGTTATAGAATAAGACAATGTAAAGACGTAGCTAATTAGAACACAGTTCTAAAAGTCAGTCAGACAAAATGTTTCTAAATAAAACAATAATTAGCTAAATAATTTTAATCATTGTATGGATTCATAAACAGGTTAAATAAGTTACAGATATTTGTGTGTGTGTGTGTGTGTGTGTGTGTGTGTGTGTGTACACCACTTAGCTTAGGTGTTATTTGGGAGGAATATCATTTTTTGTGGTCAGTGAGGAATCTTGAGAAAACCCCAAGAGATGTTACACACAAGATTAATGTGAATAGAAAAGTTCCTAAAAGTGGAAGGGTTCCAATTCAGTCTCAATTAGGCTACAAATGTTGGGCAAGGAGATAATGTAACATGGCTATTTTATTTTCAGATAAACTTATTTTACATTTTTAGAAATTAACGTTTAATGTAGGACAAGCAATATTCTGTGGTGTTCAGGTCTCACAATTTTCACTTTCTTCCTATTTCAACATTTCTCCTAATTTTATGGAGGGGGGGATCCCTTAGATAATTTTTTTCTGTTCATCTAGGTAATGTGTTCCTGCTCATAAGGAGAAAACCTCAAGACAAATCACATCAGTAAAAAAAACATTCTCACTGTATAGCACCTAAGCTCTTCATCTAGTTCAAGAGTGTTCACAACCTCCGGTCATTGGTCCCTCACCCTTGGTTAGAACTATGGCTTATATAGAAGAAACAGTTGAAAACTTACCACTGAGAAAATTATAAATAATTGGGTTCACAGCACTATTGGCATATACAAGCCAGTGTGAAAATGTAAACCAGGCATACACAGTCTCTCTGTCTTCTGTGTGGGTAAACATCCCAAATACTCTGTAAGCAAAGAAAGGACAACAGGAAATCTAGTGTGATTCTGGTGAGTATCTTTTCAATAATTACATTATGCAAGAGCAAACAGATACACATTTGAAGAAAATGTGTGTGGTAAAGAGAACAATGATTTTTGAGGTTATTTATTTATTTATTTATTATATGGAAGAGGGCAGAATGCTCAAAAATTGAAAATATTTTAAATTAAACATGGACTTTCTCCTTAGAAAGCAATTTCCTTTCCTTGAAAAGGAAGGTATTTAAGTTGGAAGAATAAGAGAAATATTGTGGACGTGTAGGTATTTGGAAGTAGCTTAAGGAAAGTACAAGCGCTGAGATGCAGGAAATCCAAATGAGCATTCCAGAGAGCAGTAAATCTAATTTTCATTGAATTTAGATGGACTAAAATAAAAGTACAAAAAAAGAAAGAAAGAAAGAAAAAAGCAAGGAGAAAATTCATCCAGTTTCACAGCATATTTACAAAGTTCTTAGGGGCTGAAAACGTCATTTGGCAAAAGATCACAATAAATGTGTATAGGATTGCTGTGGGCAAGAAAAAATAAGAAGGAAAATGTGGAAAGATATGGAGAGTCAAGTCGCTCATTTATTCGTGAGCCAGTATATGTCTCAAGGACCCAGGCGGCTGAAATCTTTTACATTTAACACTGTGCCTGCAGTAAATAATGTTACTAAACAAAAGTGCATTTTCCACTTTTCTGCCATTGAAAAAGCCACAAAGCAATCAATAAAAGGGCCAAAGAGAATGAGAAATCTTTGCAGCTGATTCTACCACCTTTTGTCTGTGCGACTCCAGCCAAAGATCTCTCCAGGGTCCCCAGCTGCGAGGAACATGATATTGACCCTGAATCAGGGAAAAGTGAGAGCAGCAAACCTAGTTGTAGTTCTAAGTCTATTATAAACAGAATTAGAATTACTTTGGGACCAGTCTACGTACAACGGTTCTGATGATTCCCAATAAAGTTGGCTGGCCATGAAGTTCAAGTGTACCATTCATTGCTCCTGCATCGGCTGTGTTTGCGTTGATCAACTGTGTTAACTTAAATGCGTCTGCAGTGTAACACATGACAGACTTTCCCTGGCTGAAAAATTTTGAACTGATTTTTTAAAAATTAATATTCACCTTGAGCTTGATTCAATGACTTTAGGAAATGGATTTTCTTTCTGTTTAAACATTCAAACACAGTATGTGTCATAAGTTCATTTTTTTGTGCATGTGCTCACAAATATACTTTTAAGCATAACTAGAATGCTAACAAAACATTCTTATCTCTTTTTTAGCCTTGAGATGGAATTCTGTCACAATTCCCCGTGTCTTTGAAAACTATGGAAAATCCATTTGTTCTGATCAAAAGAGAACTCCCCCGCTGTAAATGAGTTCTTTTGCATTAGAACTTTTTTTCTGCAATTAGATTGAAGAGATCAGGGAACATCTGCTTTGTGTCTGCCATTCAACAGAGAATTTGCATGGACAAGAGCATTTACAGTCTGAGCACTCCAAATGGACGTTTGCCTTACCTGCTGGTAACAACAATACAGTTATCAAGCCTGACAAGCTATCTAGGCAGAGGGCTTCAGTTTTTCTCTTTAAAAAAGAAGTTCTTAAGAAGCAAGAAATGACAGGTCACTTTACTTTCAAATAATAGGTAAACTTTACCTCTTTAACATGTTCAGGATGCTAATTGGTAGATAGCAAATTGCAAATACCAAAAGCACCACCATCAGCATCCGGGCTGTTTTTCGTCTGGCTCGGATCTGCTTTATTTCAGCAGCCACGGCGCTAATCCTGGACTTGGTCTGCTGTCCTGACCCTCGAGGCTGTGAAACAGGCTGCAGGGGCTTCCATTTCCTCTGAACCACAGATGATGTGCCAGGGATCTGAAAGAAGCGGAGACCCTCTATTGCTATCTGACTTCGGAAAGTTCCACTTTGGAGAAGTAATTATACGACACAGTAAGGAACGTGTCCCAGACACCCGTGGTCTGAGAGGTTCAAGAGCCTGCTTCCCTACAATGTTTGAATGGAGCATGTTCTTGAATAATGCGTCCAAGTGCCAAATAGGAGTTCGAATGGGAAAAAAAAATGTGGAAACACCACACATTTGTCAAGGTCTAAAGAGAGCTACAAATGGAAAAGCTATCTCTTTATTAAAAGAGAAGTCATATATCCAGACAATGGAATATTATTCAGTGCTATAAAGAAATCAGCTATTGCCCTAGCTGGTTTGACTCAGCGGATAGAGCATCGGCTTGCAGACTGAAGGGTCCCAGGTTCGATTCGGGCCCGGGGGCACATGCTCGGGTTGCAGGCTTGAACCTCCCCCCCCCCCCAGTAGGGGGCATACAGAAGGCTGCCGATCAATGATTCTCTCTCATCATTGAGGTTTCTATTTCTCCCTCTCCCTTCCTCTCTGAAATCAATACAAATATATTTTTTAAAAAGGAAATCAGCTATCAAGCTATAAAAAAGAGAAACGTTAAATGCATATTACTTAAAGAAGCCAATCTAAAATTGCTACATATATGATTCAATTACAATACACCTTGGAAAAGATAAAACTATGAATACACTAAAAAAGTCAGTGATTGGCTATAGGGGGAAGGGATGAATAGGCAAGTATAGAGGATTTTTAAGACAGTGAAAATACTCTGTATGATACCATAATAATGAATACATGTCATTATATATTATACAATGTATTTGGATACGGTGTCCAAACCTATTGAATGTACATCAAGAGTGATCCATAAGGTAAACTATAGACTTTGGGTGGTTATGATGTGCCAGTGTAGGTTCATCAATTGTAACCACTCCTCTGAAGAGTGTTGATAATGTGGAAGCTGTGCCTAAGTGGAACTGGGACAAATGGGAATTCCCAGTATCTTCTACTCAACTTGGCTGTGAGCCAAAATGGCTCTAAATCAGCGGTTCTCAACCTATGGGCCGCGCCCCCTGAAAATACATCCTGCATATCAGATATTTACATTACGATTCATAACAGTAGCAAAATTACAGTTATGAAGTAGCAACGAAAATCATTTTATGGTTGGGGGTCACCACAACATGAGGAACTGTATTAAAGGGTCACGGCATTAGGAAGGTTGAGAACCACTGCGACAAAATAAAAACAAACTCTTAATTTTTTTTAAAAAAAGAGGGAAATGAAAACTGGCTAAAACTGTAAAGGGATGACAACCCCATTATCTTCTTAGGAATCCTGGTTCAGCTCAGATACCGAAGTTTAAAGAGAAGGAAAAACGCAGGTAACTGCAAGCCACCTGAATGGATTTTTCATGTATCACTACTGCCATCTGCTGCCAGCTGGAGAGATAGGACTTAGCTACCTTTTGCTTTTTATTAGGTTTTTTCGGGTTCTCAAGTTTGGCCGCTGCAAACCTTTGAATGAAGGGAGGAAAAAAAATTCTTTGTTGCTTACTATGTATTGTTATGAAATTGCTTGAAACCAGTTTTATGGTCTGGCACTTTAACAAGCACACAAAAACACTGAGAATCCCCTGTGGTCTTACATGAACATTTCAGATACCTGGAATTTGTAAAGACAGTTATACAACTTGTACTTTTCCATTTCTTTTCAAAGTTACTTGATAAAAGCAGGGAGTCCCTCCAAGTATAATATTTTCTTAATTATAAGCTCATGGAGATTGATAGGGTTTAGTGAGCAAAACAATAAAATTCAGCATGTGTAATTTTTTTAGAAAGGAAAATGTGCCAGCAAGCACACCATACGGCCATCTTAGTTCTATTAAGATCATTCAGCTGTTGCTTTTATGTCTGTGCTGCAAACCCCGACAGATCAATGTGTCCCTGTGGCCTCTCTGAATGGATGTTGGATGGGTTTTGTTGCTTTATACATCACAAGATCCAAGTGTGTTAGATAATTTCTAATTTGAGAAGAGACTTTTACTTTGATGCTCACACAGATGAATGAACATGATGCTCCTTTCGGCCATAACTATTCTCTCTCAAAAAGAAGCAAAAGAAGTTAATAGAAACCTGCCCTCAATTAGAAAAAAAAATAGATAATGATTTATCTTCTGATTCTACCTATCCTGTCATGAAGACTAACCTTTTCATATAGGCCCCCTCAAAATTCTTACCATTGGTTGGCAGGAGGCAGAAGCTGAGAATCTTTCCTATTCTGAGAGTCTCTTTTTAAATAGACATTTAAAAATATAATGGCAATGGAAAGTTCCAGAAGACCTTTAGTATGAATAACTCTATAAATGTCTGCTAAATGGCCTTGAACTGTTTTCTAAATGATCTCTGAGAGATCACTTGAACCTTAGCAGTTGTATTATTGAGTGTTCCCTTGAAGGAGAGGTTCAACAGTCTGCATCTGATGACTTCTGCAACCATCAGAAACAGTCCCCGTGAAGTGACTCTGTCCCAGGGAGTATGGCTGTGGTCCCTGTCACCAGGAAAAAATACAAAAAAGACGTGATGATATCTCCTGTTGTTTCTTGGCTAACTTAGTTAAAGGTTTGTCATTATCTCTGATCTTTTAAAAGAACTTTCCGTTTTATTGAACGTTTTGTTTTTATTTTTAATAAAGTCTGCTTAGTTATTTATTTAGGTGCAGTTGTTATACAATATTGTATCAGTCTCAGGTGCACAACATAGTGATTCAGCATTTATAGACCTTACCATGTGATCACCACAGTAAGTCTAGTAACCAGCTGTTACCGTGTAGCTATCACAGTATTGCTGACTATACTAGTATTCCCCTCCAGCTTTTTTACCCATCCCTCCTCCTCACTCCCCTCTGGCAACCATCGGTTTTATTTTTTAAAATGTTCATTTCCTTTCTATTGACTTTATTGCGGTGACATTGGTTAATAACATTAGGTAGGTTTCAGATGTACAATTCTATAATACATCATTTGTATATTGTATTGTATGCTCATCACCTCAAGTCTCCTTCCATCACAATTTATCCCTATACCCTCCACCACCTCCATAATCACCACACTGTTGTCTGTGCCACTTTGAATGTTTCATTGTTTTATTATACTTTATTTGCACTCTAATCTTTATCATTTACTGCCTGCTATTGGCTTTCATTTTTTAATATTTTTTTCTATTTATAATCTCTGAAGGTAGAATGTTATGTTACTGATTTGAGATTTTATTTTTTTATTATTATTACAGCTGTAAATTTCCTTCCAAACACTTCTTTGGCTGCATTTCATAAATTTTGGTGTATTGTTTTTATTTTCATTCATTTCAAAGTATTTTCTAATTTCTCTTGTGATTTCTTCTTTTACTGATTGGTTATTTTAAAATGTAAAGTTTAATTTCCATATATTTTTGAATTTCCTAATTTTATTTCTATGGATTATTTTTTGTATAAATCCGTGGTAGTAGAATAATGTACTTTTTATTATTTCAATCATTTCATTAATGTACATTTTTATTATTTTAATCACTGTAAGTGACTGTAGGCTCACTTTATGGCCTATCATATGGTCTGACCTGGAGAGGATTCTATGTGCTCTTGGGATTCCATGCGCTACTGGGATGAATGTGTATTCTGATTTTTGAACAATTTTTTGCAGATATTTCTAGGTCCATTAGGTTGGTAGTTTTGTTTAAGTCTTCTGTTTCCTTATGGATCTTCAGACTAGTGTTTCTACCTACTGCTGAAAAAGGGGGATTAACTTTTTTAACTACTACTGTTGAATTGTCAGTTTCTCCCTCCAGTTCTGTAGTGTTTGCTTCATGTGCTGTGGGTTTCAGTTGTTATGTGCAGAGAAGTTTAAAATTTTTATATTTTACTGATGGACTGACTTGTCATTATGAAATGTCCCTCTTTATCACAATTATTTTTGTTAAAGTCTCTTTTGTCTCATTAATATTATGGCTACTCCAGTTTTCTTTTTGGTTACAATATTTTACATGTAATCTATTTGTCTTTGAACATGAGCTGTGTCCCTTATAGATAGCATAGAGTTGGATCATGGTTTTTTGCTTGTTTCACATATCCTACCAATCTCTGGAGTGTTTTATTCATTTATATTTAATGTAATTACTAAGAAGGTATAATTTATATCTGTCATTTTGCTATTTGTTCTCTCTATATATTTTGTCTATTTTGGTCCTCTATTTTCCCATTGCTGCTTTATTTGTGTTAGGTAGACATTTTCTAGTATAGCAATTTAATTATCTTACTGAGTCTTTCTGTTTAGATTAATGCCAACATTTTTTCATCTACTTTTCTTATTATTGCGGTTAAACCTATATAACAAAACTTAAAATTTTACCATTTTTAAAATAAGACTTAAAATATTATTCTTCAATTACAGTTGAAATACAACATTATTTAATTCTCAGGTGTATGACGTGTGATTTACGTTTACATATCTTTGCCAAATGATCATTGCGATAAATAGTTATTACAATATTATTGACTATATTTCCTGTGCTGTATGTCCTCATTTACATTTTTATAATGGACAATCTGTACTTCTTAATCGCTTTCACCATTTTCACTCATTCCCAAAACTGTCCTCCCATCTGGAGTCAATCAATTTGTTCTCTGTGTCTATGAGTTTACTTTTGTTTTATTTATTTTGTTTTTTTAGATTTTAGTTAACATTGATCTTAGTAATATTGTGTTGGATATGTCTCCTAGGGCAAACTCAACAGTAGCAAAAATAAACAAATGGGACTACATCAAACTAAAAAGCTTTTGCAACAAAAAATAAACTATCAATAAAACAAAAAAGCAACCCACTAAATGGGAAAATATATTTGTAAATGATATATCTGATAAGTGATTAATACCCAAAATATATAAATAACTCGTACAGCTCAACATCAAAAATACAAGCAAACAAGTGATTTAAAAATGGACAGAA